GATGTTTCTCTCGCTCACGAGCTTGAGAAGGAAGCTGCAGGGAAAGGGGACGACGGAGGCGACGACCGACGGAGACGACGACTCGAACAGCCAAGCCCCTCGCACACGCCGACAGGGTCGGCGGATTTCCCGATAATCGTGTCTCTTGTTCCCCTTCCTCTCTCGTGCGCCCTCCTGCTTCCCTTCATCTATCCTGCATGTGTCTCATATTCCTCCTTCCTTGCCTCTCGCCAGCTCTTCGCACACCGGAGATGTTTCTGATGCACCGCCCATCGTATCTAGACGAAGGACCGCAGTAAGCTCCAGTGGTGCTTGAAGGCGTCAGTTCCTGCGCAGGTTGACTACCTCAACAAGGTTTCAGATACGCATGCGGCCGTGAGGGCCAAAGTTTTGCAACATCGCAGCCCACATCTGCAGGCAAGCGATGGACCTTGCTACAACGGCGACAGCTGTCCTCTTGCGTCCTGCGCCGCTCACTGTCTCGGTGCAGAATGTCTGACGGATCGCTGCATGGGCGGCCAGGCGCATCCTTCATGGCAGAGATAGACGCGCAGAGCCACCGCAGTCTCGCGCGAGTTGTCGCACTGGAACGTAGTGGGCTGTCGATCGTGAAGTGTTGGGGCTCAGCCTGCACGGCTGAGATGTCAGTGCTGCGTCACCATTTTGTTTGCGCGGCATGGGTGTGCACCGAGTCGCCGTGCGGCTCGAGTGGCGAAGGAGGAACTTCCAGGACGGAGACGCACTCCTAGTCCCCGATCTCGCTCGACTCTAGCTGCATCAAAAGTGGTGACACGGAAAGACCCAATGCTGTGGGTAGAGTGTGCAGTCGTCCGCCGACTCGATGCGCGTGTGGTTTGCCGTCTGGTCCCTGACGCACTGGGCCACGGAGGTCGCAGGCTGCAGGCGGTAGTTGCGGGAGACGGTGCTGGCAACGCCTTCCTTGGCCTCGCGGACTTCGGCGGCCATCGGGTGCGGGGGGGGCAGTGCCCATTCAAACGGGCAGGGCCGCCCCGGTCGACGGGTCCTCGCGCCATGTTTCTCGTGCGCACGATGAGCGCGGCGTGCGGACCCTGCAGTTGCACGGCCGTTACGAGGGCCATGACGACGGGTTGTGGAGTTGCAGCTTGTGGTGGAGGCTGCTGGCAGCGCGGCCAGAGACAGGGAGCAGCCCGAGCCGCACGTTGCGGCGCCAGGGGGGAGGGGCATTCGCAGGACACTCGTGTGGGGAAGGCCCGAAGGAGGCGAGTCAAAATGGGGGGGAAGCGACGAGGAGGTCGGGACGGATAGTGTTGCCCTCGCTCTCGTCTTCTTTTTCCTCATCGTCTTCCTCCTTTCATCCGAAGGCGCTCGCAAGGGCGGTGCGGCGTCCGCCGTGAGCTAACACTTGGCGGCATCATAGACCATATTGCTTGGCGACTTTGATTGTTTCGCCCCCAAGGGTTAGCCTAAACTCCAACGGGCTCGATCCCGATCCCGATCCAATCTTTCTTCTTCGGCATGCTGTGGGGGGCTCCGAGCCCTTCGCGTCGGCACACACGCCATGCAGCAAAGATTGCGGCGGAAGGCGCCAAGTCCAGTAACACGACCCGCACCAAGGAGGCCAGGGGGCCCGCGAGGACAGCGATGGGTCGATACCTCCACGCAGTTCCGCAGCACCCCCGCCTGCATCAGGGAGGCAGGGGACGAGGCAGGCCCCGATCTGCTCCTCCTCCTCCTTACTCCTCGACTCTTCCTCATCCTGTCCATTCCTCCTCCTCCTCCTCCTCCTCCTCCTCCTCCTCCTTCCCTTGCTCCTCCTCGTCCCTCCTCCTCCTCCTCCTCTTCCTCCTCCTCCTCCTCGTCCCTCCTCCTTCCCTCTATGCTCCTCTCCTGGCCCCGCTCGTGGCGGGGGGGGGCCAAGAGGGGGGGGGGGCGTGACGGCGCAGGGGAAGGCCCGTGTCCCCGAGCCTCGTGCTCCCGGCGCTGCAGGGGGAGGGGGGGCCAGGAGGCCAGGAGGAGGACGAAGAGGAGAAGGAGGAGGAGGACGAAGAGGAGAAGGAGGAGGAGGACGAAGAGGAGGAGGAGGAGGAGGAGGAGGACCCCCCCCTTCAGCTTCTGGTGGTGGTGCTGGCGGCTCCGGGGCAGGAGAGCGCGAAGCAGCGGCGTCAGCAGATCGACCGGCTGGAGACGGCGCTGTCGAACAGCGAAGGCCAGGAGAAGGGAGGAGAAGGAAGGGAGGGGGGGGAAGGCCAGGAGAAGGGAGGAGAAGGGAGGGGGGGAGGCCAGGAGGGGGAGGGTGGTTAGATGCTCGTTTTGGGTACCCTGATGGGGCCCACCTAACGGATATGTTCGACTCAAGCTCGACAAGAAGCAGCGGCGCCAGCAGATCGTTCGGCTGGAGACGGCGCTGTCGAACAACGAAGGCCAGGAGAAAGGAGGTCACCACCCACCAACCCACCCCAACCCAACCCGAAGGCCCCGTTTTGCCCTCCATTTCGGGTATGGGGGGCTGTCGGGGAACATCGAAAACACACACACACACACACATGAAGCCCGTTCCCACCCCCCACCCCCCAACCCGAAATTCAGATTTTCCGGTTGGGTGGGGTGGTTTGGTAGGTAGTCAGGAGGGGGGCCGAGGACGTTGTCGTCGTTGATCAGCCACGCGCAGAGGGGGGTGAGGGGAGGGGGAGGTATTCTTAGAAGCACCCCTGCTTCTTAGAAGGAGGAAGAGGGCTTCTTAGAAGGAATCGAAGAAGACAATCAATGCCATAGATACATACATATATACACACATAATTTACATACGTAAATTTGTGCCGCTCCGCGCGTGTTTCTTGGATCCGCGCCTGGGCCCCCCAGCGGCGCCGGAGGCGCCGCTCCTGGCGCGCGCGCCAGGGAGGGGGGTCCAGCGCAGCTCCAAGAAATCCGTGCGGAGCGCCAACAGTTTATGTTTGTGTTGTTGTTAGGCCAGGAGGCGGAGGGGGGTTACATGCTCGTTTGGGGGACTTTCTGGGGCCCACCTAACGCATGTGTTCGACTCAGATTCGACTCAGATTCGACTCAGGGTCGACTCAAATCGACGGCCGTTCGACGCAGCTTCGACGCACTCCAGGAAGGTCCCCAGAAAAGGAGCACGCATTGGGGGGGGCGAGGACGTTGTCGTCGTTGACCACCCACGCGCAAAGGGGGTTGGGGGGAGGGGGAGGGCTTCTTAGAGGTACCCCTGCTTCTTAGAAGGCGCGGGCCTCATCCACAGATGCAAGGCCGGCGCCTTCTATGAAGCAGCCTGCTTCTAAGAAGCCCCCCCCCTCCCTCCACCCCCTGGTGCGCGCCGCCAGGAGGGGGGGCGAGCACGTCGTCGTCCTCGAGGGTCGGGGGCAACGTTGAGGGGGGGGCGGGCTCCGAGGGGGGGTGCGTCGACCCCCGATGGCCCATCTAGGCCTCCTAGATGGGGTCGGAGTAGATGGGGTCGGAGGATCGCGCCGCATCGCCGATGTGGCTCGATGTGCAGCCCGATTTGCGTCACGTCGACGTCGCCGATGCATCGCCGACGTCGACGATGCATCGCCAGTGCATCGCCGATGCATCGCCGATGCATCGACGATGTATCGCCGATGTATCGGCGATTCGGCGCGATCCTCCGACCCCATCTACTCCGACCCCATCTAGGAGGCCTCTAGCCCACGAATCGCCGATCGGGGCTCGCTGGCCCGCCCCGCCCAGGCACGTGGGGCTGCGCTGTCGAGGTCCCGCCGCCGCCGATCTGGCGGCGGTGCGCTGCCGGCTCCGGGTCGATCTCTCCCTCTGCTGAAGTCGGGCCTGTCCCTCTACAGGAGGACTATCCAAAAATAGTCAAAAAATAGTCTGCGGACGATTTCGGGACTATTCTTGAGCATTTTGGAATATTGTCTGAGTCGTTTTCATTTTTCGCCCAAAATCCCCCTGTCGGGGGACATGCCCGACTTAACCCTATGCCCCCCTGAGGCGGTTCCTCTCGGCGCCTCCCCTCAGGAGTGGGAGGTGCGGGGGGCAGGTTTTCGTGGATTCTTAGAAGGGCTTTCGCAGGCGATGGCAAGCCTGGATCAAGGGGCGTGCATTAGCGAAGGGCCCCGTTTCCACGGGAGATCGCGGACTTCCGCCGCACTTTGGGGAGGGCACCTTCCCCGATCCATGGATTCGGCGACCGCGCGCCAAATCCACGGATCGCTAATCCATGCTTGTGCGCCCCGCTTGCGAAGGCCTGACGGCCGGTGCCGCCGACCCCGAAGAGGACCACGACGTCGGCGACGAAGTGGGCGGAGATGGAGGCCGTGGAAGATGAGGAGGAGGAGGCGAGGAGGAGGGGGAGGAGGAGGAGGAGGAGGAGGATGAGGAGGAGGAGGAGGAGGAGGAGGAGAATGAGGAGGAGGAGAAGGAGGAGGAGGAGGAGGGAGGAGGATGAGGAGGAGCGATTTTCCCGCCTCGGGACAGTGTCCAGCAGCCGCGCCTCGTCGAGGGCTCTTTCCGGGCGTGCCGGGCTCGCCCGAGCGGAGGGACATACCGCCGGCGTCGGCGGCTTGCCCAGCGGGAGGGCAGAGGGGGCGGGCCTTGCCAGGAGGCTCCGAGCGCCTTCTGAGATGCTCTCTGGGCCTCTTCCAAAGCCACAGGGGGCGCCTCAGAAGGCCCTCGGGCGCCCGAGGAGCCCCGCTGCCTACCGAGGAGGCCTGTCCCCTCTTCCCCCCTCGGCGCGCCGCCGACATGAAGCACACGGGTGCTGAGAGGACCCGGGCCACGTGGTTCTAGTTCTTTGGTCGGGCCTCCCTGGGGCCTTCCCTGGGCGCCTCCTCCCCTCTCCTCCTCCTCCTCCTCCTCTCCTCCTCTCCTCCTCTCCTCCTCTCCTCCTCCTCCTCCTCCTCCTCCTCCTCCTCCTCCTCCTCCTCCTCCCTTTCCTCCTCCTGCTCCTTTCCTACGCTGGGCTCCTCCTCCTCCTCCTCCTCCTCCTCCTCCTCCTCGCCGACCTTCGATTTCCCCCGCGCCAGGCCACCGCAGCACGAAGCCGCGCGTCCTCCTCCGCTACCGCCAGCACCTCCGCGATCTGCAGCCCGGCCGCCGTGCGAAGCCGGGCGTTATCCGCGAGGCACGGGACGTGCCGATGCCGCACGTCGGGGGCGGCACGGGCCCAGGCGGCGCGGCGGCGACTGGGCGGCGTCGGCGGCTGCGGGCTTGCGGCGGCGACGGCGACGGCGGCGACGGCGGCGACGGCGGTGATGACGACGACGACGACGACGACGACGACGACGACGGCGACGGCGGCGACGACGACGACAACGACGAGTCGCCATGAGGAAACCTCGCGGCGGCGACGGCGGCGGCGACGGCGGACCCCTGGAGGCATCCACAGGTCGAGGGTGGAGGGTGGCCACGGAAGGGGGTCCACGGGAGGGAGGGCGGGGAGCAGGACTCCTTCAGGAGGGCAAAAAGCACACAGACACAATTAATCGTCGATCCCCCAGAAAATATGGGAAAATATGGGAAGTGGGGGGGAAGACAAAAAATACAGAAAATATAAGAAAATATGGGGAATCCTGTTATTTGTGTGTATTTATTTGTGTGTTTGCGGGCCCCTTCATTCCTGGGGGTCCACGGGGGTATGCCCTCTGTCACTGGGCCCCTGGGCGGGTCTACGGACCGAGGGCGGGAGGAGGGGGTCCACGGGGCGGGGGGGGCACGGGGTTCCCCGGGGTGGGCCCACGGAGGGGGGGGCCACGGCTCGACGGGAGGGAAAGGGGCAGGAGGGTGGCGCAAGGAGGGAGGATGAGCAAGGAGGCAGGAGAGCGGGGGGAGCAGGAGGAGGCAGGAATGGGGAGGAGGAGGAGGAGGAGGAGGAGGAGGAGGAGGAGGACAAAGGGGAATGAACAGGAGGAGGACGAGGAGGTGGAGGAGGAGGGGGAGGAGGAGGAAGGAATGTGGAGGAGGAGGCGGAAAGAGGAGGAGGAGGAGGAGGAGGAGGAGGAGGAGGAGGAGAAGGAAGACGAGGAGTAGGACGAAGACGGATGAAGAGGTGGAGGAGGAGTTGGAGAAGGAGGAGGAGAATGGTGAGGAGGAGCAGGAGGAGGGGCAGAGTGGGGAGGGAGGGAGGAGGTGTAGAAGCGCAGGGAGAGTGTAGGAGGGGGCAGGATGATGGAAAGGCGGGGGATAAGGAGGAGCATGGTAATGATCAGAGAAAATCCAGGTTGCATCCACGACGCTGCAACACGTTCACCAATCCCAAGGCCCCTCACGAGGTGGTTTCTTGTTACACGCGGCCTTCCCCACAGGAAAACGCCCCCGTTGACAAACAACCCCCTCCCGTCAGTCTGCCATTCAATCATGCGGGACCCTTCGTTGGAGAGGAGCCACTTCCAATCTTTCTAGCAATAAGAAGTGCACGGAGGCAGGGCCGTAAAGTTCAGAGAACAGCGCAGCAAGATTCCGCACGGTGTTGAAACACCTGTGCCCTCCATCCGTGTACGCGCTGCCCGTTTCCATAGCAGTAACGTCCCGTTTGAGCACGTCTCGAGCGAGAGCCCGAGCCCCATTTATGCCGACCGCTCTCCGTCCGTGTAGTTTTTCTGGGTTAAGACGTCCTCATCGTACCAACACGCTGCGAGGGAGTTCCAAGGGGTGTCCGCATCTTGAAGAAGAGGCGCCATCCGTTGGTGTATTTGTTGAATTGTTGGGGGCGCGGGTGTGCAACGCCACAGCGCGATCCCCACCTGGAGCACCCGCCGCCTGCCCTCCGTGTAACTATCTATTCGATGTTCGGCGAGCGTGCGTGGCGCAGAGGCGGGGGCCCCCTCTTGAGAATCCATCGCGCATCCGCGGCAACTGCCGGGCTTCCTCAGCTTCGAGTTCACAGGGAGTCAGGAAGCCCTGGGCGAAGCACCTCCTCCTCCTCCTCCTCCTCCTCCTCCTCCTCCTCCTCCTGGCCCGCTTCCCCAGCACGTCCGGTCCTGCTCCTGCGGCAGGGGCGAGCTGCTCATCAAGACGCGGGGTTTTCGCAGGAAGAGCCGGAGGAAGAGGAGCCTGGCCGCACGCCGTGCCCGGGCGAGCTCGCCCGCCTGCACGGGTGTTGCACCTGCGCGTCAGTGCTTGGCCAAGCTCTCCGCGTGCTGCCCGTCGGGCCCCCCTGCTCTCTTTCGGCCTCCCTCGGTGGCACGGCGCGGCGGCCTGGTAGCCTTCCGCTGGCGCAGCGCAGCGCCTCAAAATGGCGTGGAGAAGGGAGAGGACTCGGCGTAAGGCGGGCGTGTCCCCCTCCTACAGGGGGATTTTCGACGAAAATAAAAAATACCCCCAAAATATTCCAAAATGATCAAACAACAATCATCAAAAAATAGTCCCCAGACTAGTTCTGGATATTTTGTTTGTTTTTATTATTTTTGGGGTATTTTTTTCCGTCGAAAATCCCCCTGTAACGCCCGACATAAGACTCGGCGGCCAGCGAATGTGGGGGAAGCGAAGAAGAGCAGGCCTTGTCAGATTGCGGCGGGACTTCTGGAGTTTTCTGCGCGCCGGCGTGGATTCGACGCGGACTCGACACGGATTCGGCACGGATGAGCCACACGGATTCGACGCGCCCGACACGGGTTCGACGCGATGGGACAGACATGGCCCCCCGAAGATGCCACACGAGATCAGGGGAAGGCCCTCTCAGGAGGCGGCAGGAGCCCTCGCGCCTGCTGAGAAGTGCTCTATGCGTCTTCGGGGGAGGCGTAGGGCACTCCTGCGAAGGCCGGGGGGCCTCCCAGCCTTCTGGGCCGGCCCGCCCCCTCCTCGCTCAGCCCCCCCCCCCCAGGGGCTCGCCGCCGAGACTGGGGGAAAATTCAAGCAGTGGCGAAGCGCCCTGGCTCGCCTGCAGGCCCACCAAACAATGTTCTGAGAACCTTTTATGGTTTGCACGAAATGCTCTTAGAACATTTTTGGCCGAGACTGTCCTGTTCGAACACATCGGGCTTATGTTCTGAGAACTGGGTCCTAAGAGCATTTCGTGGTAGGCCTATAGGAATGGCGGGACGGTCGGTCCCTGCGCAAGGGATGGCAGCGGGCCCGGCCCTCCTCTTCGGATGCAACTCCTGGGAGGTCGAATGCTGCCTTTGCCCTGGTCCGAAATCCAGCTTCGTCCGGCTTCTATTGCTGCCCCAATCCGGAGGAATCCCGCTCCATCCGTCCGATTCCTGTCTGCTCCGCGGCCCGATGCGGCTCGATTCTGCCGGACCCTTCCGACGAAGATCCTCTCCAGGCAGTTGCCTCCCGACCCGAGGCAGCGCGCCCCCTGGCAGCGACTCCGGCGCCGCCCACTGGCGCGCTCCGCGCGCCAGGGAAGGGGGTCCAGCGCGGATTCAAGAAACCCGCGCAGAGCGCCACAAGTCGATGTTTGTGCCGTTGTTCCTCCTCCTCCTCCTTCCCCTCCTCCTCCTCCTCCTCCTCCCCCTCCTCCCCCTCCTCCTCCCCATCCTCCCCCTCCTCCTTCCCCTCCTCCCCCTCCTCCGCCTCCTCCTCCTCCTGCCGGCCCGAGGCAGCGCGCCCCCGACGCACTCCTCGCCCGCGGCGGTGCTGCTCTTCCCCCCGCCGGGGGCGCAGCAGCCGCCAGCCGCGGCCCCCGGCGACGGAGGCGGGCGGGCGGGCGTCCCTCTCGCGCGGCGGCCTGGCGCGGCGGCCCCTCGGCGGCGCCCCTCCTCGGTGGGCAAGGTTAGGTTTGAGTCGGGCCTAAAGGAATATTAAAACATGGTTTAGAAATAGTGTGGGGGACGATTTGTTTCTGTTTTGCTATTTTTGCCCATTTGGGGGGGCATGTCTTGCATATTCTGAACTGTTCGCCCAAAGTCCGCCTGCAGGGGGACATGCCCGATCTAAGGTTAAGTCGGGCCTGTCCCTCAGGGAGAATATTCAGAAACAGTCAAAAAATAGTCCGGGGACTATTTTTTGAGCATTTGTTTGACCATTTTGGAGCACTTGTCTTAGTATTTGTTTCTGTCGTCGAAAATCCCCCTGTAGGGGGACACGCCCGACTTAAGGTTAGGTTGAAGTCGGGCCTGGAGGAATATTCAAACATGGTTTAGAAGTAGTGTGGGGACGATGTTTTTATTACGTTTGCCCATTTGGGGGGATCTTGCGTATTCTGAACTGTTCGCCCAAAGTCCGCCTGTAGGGGGGCATGCCCGACCTAAGGTTAAGTCGGGCCAGTCCCTCTACAGGGGGAGTATTCAGAAATGGTCAAAAAATAGGCTGGGGACTATTGTCTGAGCATTTGTTTATTTTAGTGTTTTTTTGTATTTGTTGTTCGTCGGAAATCCTTTGTTCGTCGAAAATCCCCCCCGTAAGGTTAGGTTTAAGTCGGGCCTGGAGGAATATTCAAACATGGCTTAGAAATAGTATGGGGAACGATTTGTTTGTTTTACTTTTTTTGCCCATTTGGTGGGGTATTTCTTGCGTATTCTGAGTTGTTCGCCCAACATCCGCCTTTGGGGGGACATGCCCGACCTAAGGTTAGGTCGGGCAAGTCCCTCTCCAGGAGGAGCAGTCAACCAACAATTGGCAAACAACAGTCGGCGGACGATTTTTCTCGACTGCGTGTTCCACTATTTTTCGGGGTAACGTTTTGCCTGGAAATCTCGACCCATTCCCCAGCACCGGTTTTTCATCCTGAGTCGTTGTTTGACGCTCCCGAGGACCGGCGAGGGCCCCTGGGGGCCGAAATTTGCGAAAATCTTCCGTTTTGATTTTTTCAACGCGTTGGATCTCTGGGTCTGGGAGGCCTGGATTCAGAGAAGGCTTTCTCCTCCTTGCTTTCCCCCTCGCTCGCCGCTGGGAGGCCCTGCCCGACCCGATTCCTGGCAGGGGCCTGCGCCGCCGACGCCGCCGGTCGGCCTGCGCAGCTCGGCTCGGCGAGCGAGGGGTGGGGGGGGAGGAGTCGCTCGGCCGCTTCGGGGGGCCGAGCGATCCTCCCCTCCTCTTCCTCCCCTCCTCCTGTCCTCTCCCTCCTCCTCTCCTCCTCCTCTCGTCCTCGTTCCTCTCCTCCTCCTCCTCCTCTCGTCTGTCCATCCCTCTCTCCTCTCCTTGCCCTCTCCTCACTTCCTTCTTCTCCTCCTCCTCTCTCCTCCGCTCCTCCTTTCTCCTCCTCTCCTATCTCCTCCTCCTCCTGGATGTCCTGTCCTCCTCCTCCTCCTCCTCGTCCTGTCCTCCCTCTCCTCCTCCTCCTCCTTCCTCTTCCTCCTCCTCCTCCTCCTCCTCCTCCTCTGGTCCTCGTCCTCCTCTCTCTCTCCTCCTCCTCTCGTCCTCGTCCTCGTACCTCCTCCTCCTCCACGTCCTCGTCCTCCCTCTCCCTCCTCCTCCTCCTCATCCTTTCCTCCTCCTCTCCTCTCCTCCTCCTCCTCCTCTCTCCTCTCGTCTCGTCTCTCATCTCGTCCTCGTCCTCCTCCTCCTGCCTCCTCCTCGTCTCGTCCTCGTCTCCCTCTCCTCCTCTCCTCCCCCCCCCCTTCCTCCTCTCTCCTCCTTCCTCCTCCTCTCCTCCTCCTTTCCTCTCCTCCTCCTCCTCTCCTCGTCCTTCCTCACTCCTCTCCTCTCTCCTCCTCTCCTCCTCCCTCTCCTCCTTCTTCTCCTCCTCCTCCTCGTCCTCCTCCTCCTCCTGCTCCTCCTGGTCCTCGTCCTCCTCCTCCTCCCTCTCCTCTCCTCCTTCTCCTCCTCATCCTTCTGCACGCCCGGCGTGGATTCGAAACGGACTCGGCGCGGATTCGGCACGGACGAGCAACACGTCAGGAGGGGAAAAAACACACAGACACAATCAGTCGTCGACTTCCAGGAAAATATGGGAAAATATGGGAAGGGGGAAGGACACAAAAACCCAGAAAATACATGAATATATGGGGGATACTTTTACTTGTGTGTATTTATTTGTGTGTCCTAGGGCCCCTTCCAAACGGACGCGACGCGCCCGACACGGGCTCGGCGCGGGCCGCGGCGCGGCCGGTGGGGCAGACGGGCACCCCCTTGAGATGCTGCTCCTCCTCCTCCTCCTCGTCCTCCTCCTCCTCCGCCGCCTCCTCCTCCTCCTCCTCCTCTTCCTCCTCCTCCTCCTCCTCCTCCTCCTCCCCCTCAGAAATCTCGGGCTCACCTCGCTCGGGGTCTCCCGAGCTAAGCCAACCTCCAGCCTCCCCCTCAGGAATCGTGGGGGGTAGGGCTAGGGTTTGCACGTAGTCCCCATGGCGGGGGGCTTCTCAGGAGCCCGCTCGCCTGCTGGGGAGTGCTCTCTGCGTCTTCGGGAAAGGCTCAGAACACCTCTCGGGTCGACCGAGAGGGGGGGATAGGGCAAGAGGGGGTTACGACATCTGCTGCACGCAGCTGGTTTCGGCCGCGCCGCCGGGCCCATTCCTCGATACACATGGGCGCCTCCCGGCGCCGGGAGGCGCTGGGAAAATTTCGGGAGCCTTGAGGCGGGGGTCAATGCAAACGGGGGTCAGCCAGAGCGCTGGATCGTGCAGGATCCTGCAACGACAGGGTCGCACTGACCCGGGCTTGGGTGCAGGATCCTCCAGGATCGTGCAGGATCCTTCGCATTGACCTGGACTTGGGTGCAGGATCTTGCAGCATTATGCAAGGCCTGACTGACCCAGGTCTGGACTGGCCCGGGTGAGGAGATCCTAGAGAACATCGGCCTCGTGAGCTGATTCTCTGCCCTACCCTTTGCTATCACGCCCTGTCGTTCCCCCCGAACTTCTCGGCAGGCCCTGAGACACTCCTGGCACTGGTTGGTGACCTGGTCACCTGAGAAGGCTCGGAAGTGCCACGAGAGCCACAACTGGTGACCTGGTCACCAGGCCGAGGAATTCGGGGGGAATGACAGGGCGGGATAGCAAAGGGTAGGGCCCCCCCGAACTTCCGCCCTAGAAGCCGGCCGTTCCCCCCTGGCACTTCCGAGCCCTCTCTGAGAGAAGGCCCGCCCCCTCGCCGCCGCACCTTCTCGGGGGAGG